ACGCTGGCCAAGCCGGCCTCAGCCAGGAGACGAACACGGCCGGGCGGCGCAGGTCTCCTCGGGGCGGAGTCCCCGGCCCGCTCCTTCCGCCTGCTGGATCTCCCTCACTGGGCCTGCCGGGATCCCAGCGCTTCCCATCCCTCCTGAAGGTTGCCAGCACAGGCCTGCCAGTGAACGGGAGACAGTTCAAGGAGGAAAACAAAGCGGGAAGAAGACGTAGAGGGAGAGAAGTTTTTTTTTAAATGGGGAAAGAACCCCATTAGAGACCTCTCCCTCGGCCGCCCTGCCAAACTCTGCCGCCAGACTCCTGTGTGCTCTCCCTGGGCACTCGCCTCCCAGGAGCTCAGCCGCTTGACTCCCAGCGTCTGGGAACCAGGAGGCCTCGTTGCCCGGCTCGCTCGTCAGCAGCCTGCTGCAATTAGTCTGCTGGTTTTGCTGGCTACCTGGGGAACTCCCCTCCCCACCCCATCAGCTGATCAAGTGGAATTAATTCCAGAAGCAGGGCAACCCCTTCAGCGGCGCTTGTTTTGGCCCCCCGTGCGGTTGCCTGTGTCTGCCTTGCCAGTATTCTGGCGCGTACATTGCTCGGTAGCAAATTCCTTTCCAAAACCCCTAGCATAAGCCCACCTGCTCCCAGAGGAGGAACACCAGCACTGGATGCCTTGGGAAGCCCTCAGGGAGGGGAGGAGGCGCAGGCGGGTTGCCAGCCTGCCAGCCAGGGAAGGCGGACCGGCTCCTGCCTTCGCCCCATGGCTCTTCTCTCCATTTTACGCTCACAAGAGCCTGTGGCAGCACAGCTGCGGAGGTGGCAGAGCCGGGCGGAGGGGCGAGAGGGCCGAAGAGGCGGCCCCCAGTTCCTCTGTGCCCTCTTCCGCGGACCTTGGTTGCAGCCCCGGCCTGGGCAGAGCGTTCTGCCTCCTGGATGCCTTCATGGGAGGGGTGAAGAAAGCCGGCGGGGGGCACAGCTCCGTGTCCAGCCGCAGCAGCACACCCTCCAGAGGCCCAGCCCCCCACACATGCATGCGCCGCCACGCCTGTCGCGCCTCCCGGCTTGGGATCCTTTGACGACCTCCACCCGCAGCTCGTGGCGCTCCCGCCAGCTCCCACGGTCCTGGGGACGTGAGCTGCGGTGCCTCGTGTCCCACACCACGCTCACGGGCGCGCGCCACGGGCGCCGCGGTGCTCTGGGGGGGCCGTGTGCTGTGCCATGCAGGGGCTCATCACCCATCGGGGGCCCTGGGGCTGCCGCGGGGCTGGAGGGGCTCGCTCAGCGTGGCACCCGCCCGTGGCTGGGCTTGTCCACACCAGCTCTGCCGCCAAGCACAACGGCGCAGCTGCGCCAGCACGCATGACCCTGGCGGGCGTCCCTCCCTGGTTGTGGCCTTGATGAGAGTCGGGGCGCACGCACGGGCGTGCATGTGGGGCCCCTTGTTCGTGGGCCAAGGAGCAAGGGGGCCACACAGCTGTTGGCCATGACAAAAAGGCCCAGGTGCCCCGGAGAGGCCGTGGGGTCCAGACCCCACTGCGGCAGGGATGCGCCAAGGCTGGGCCTGCCTCGGGCAGCTCTGGGTGGGGTGGGCACTGCGCCCTCCAGGGCTGCGGAGCATTTGGAGGCACAAAGCTATTCCGGGATGGGGATTTCTTTGCGATTTCACGGGAGCACAGCGACCTGCACCGCATGCAGCAGGCACCCAGCCCAAACCCGCGGGACTGGTTTTTCCAGAACTCTGCCTGGACAGAAGAGGGCAAGCTGAGACCTGAGGGAAGGGTGCGAGCACCACAGCCAGCCAGCTCTCCGAGTCTCCTCCGCTCGTGTAGGAGAGAGACTGGCCATCTCCCTTTCTGGTTCGTTGCAATCGCAAGCACATCCGTGTTCCAAGAGCTTGAGCGGCGTCTCCACAAAGGTTTGTCAGCACTGGAAGAGACGCCGAAAAGGGCGACCCAGATCACGAGGGGTGGAGCTACTCCCTGACCAGGAAAACCTGCATTTCGGGCACTGGCACAATTCGCCCCAAGATGTTGTTGTTCCACGTGGTCAAGTCGTCTCCAGCCTATGGCAGCCTAGACACCCCCAGAACGTCCCGTCCATGACAGCCCTGCTCAGTTGCTCCAAATTCAAGGCTGCAGGTTTCTGTATGGAATCGAAGCATCTCCGTTCTCTAGCTGACCCCTGTTCTCTGCCTTCTGCTTTCCCTCGCACGACGGCCTGCTCCAGTGCCCAGAGCCTGACAGCTGGGAGAGACCGGGCAGGGCGCTTGTTCCAGCCCCCCTCTCTCCATTCCAAGGCAAGCAGCCCTGCGCTGCGGAGAAGAGGAGACTCCGAGGGGACCTGTAGCGACTTCAGTGTACGTGAAGGGGTGTCACATGGAAATGGGTTGTGACCATTTTCCCCCTGTGGTGGCGGACATGTTCCAAGCATTAGGAAGTTCTTCCCGGCATCTAAATTGAACCTCGGATCCCTGAATTTCCTAACACTTAGGACCCCGAGGGCATGGAATGGGCTTCCACAGGTGGCTGGAGCCCCACCGGGGAGGGTGTCCAAGGAGAGGCTGGACACGCACATGGTAGACGGCACGAGCGGGGCCGGCTGGAGCCGGGGGCCAGACGAGATGGCCCAGGAGGCCCCTTCTGACTCGCGCTGTGTCTGTGCTTCTCAATTGTCCAGAAGTGCCTGCCCAGTCAGAATGTAATTCGCATCTGCCCTGAAGGGGGCAGCAGTGGCACACCTGATAAGTGCATCCACCTGCTGGGGATATCTGGGGCTCTTTGGAAACTCCACTGGTCCAGCTGCCCCATCACCTGAGCTTGAGCAGGTGGTGGTCTGGGGAAGCAGGGGGCCCTCTCTGTGGTGATGCCCCCCCGTCACGGCCTGCTCCCCAGGTGGAGATCAGGCTGGCGCCGGGCAAACCTTTTTATTTCTCCAGAGCTTTTGAGAAATCAAAGTCCAGCAGGGGACGTCTTCGTTTTATTTAATGGGCATTATTTCAGTGCCAGCGTATATTGTTTTCCAGGGCGGAACACTCAGAAGACAGGTTCAAACTGATAAGCGAATCCACCACAACACAGAAAACACGGCAGGAAAACACCAGCGGGAGCTGAACACTGGGTGGCACCTCTGTATCTCCTCACCCCCCACCGCCAAAGCTCTCTGGGCAGTTGACAGCAGCCCCGAGTGGTTCTCCGGCTCAGGCCTGAGAGCCATGAGCCACCTTCAGGCTCCAAGAAGGGCCCCGGGAGCTGCGGCCCACGGATAACAGCGCGGCAGCGTCGGAAGGGGTCCGGAAGGCCACCAGGCCCGACTGCCTGCTCAGAGCAGGATCACAGGTTAGCGCGTCCCTGGCAGGGGGCTGCCTAACCACTTCCCGAAGGCCTCTGGCATGGGGAGAGCCGCGGCCCCGGGCCACTGGTTCTGCTGTCACGCCGCTCTGGCCGCCGGGAAGGGCTTCTCCTGATGTCCAGGCAGACCGTGGCTTCCCGGGACTTGAGCCTGTTATTCCGTCTCCTGCACTCTGGGATGGTCGAGAAGAGATCCTGGCCTTCCTCTCTGTGGCAGCCTTGCAAGTATTTGGAAAGTGCCACCATGTCTCCCTCCGCCCTCTCTTCTCACGACTGGACAGGCCCAGCTCTCTCGCTCTCTCCTCACGGGGCCTCGCTTCCCGGGCCCCGGACCACCCGCGCTGCCTCCTCTGCACCCTTCCAGCTTGCCTGCACCCTTCTTCAACTGTGGTGCCAGAGCTGGACGCAGGCCTCCAGGCGGGGCCCGAAGAGGGGGAGCCAGCGCTTCGCATGATGCGGGAGCCCTGCTGCCGTTCACGCAGCGCAAAGTGGCATCAGCCTGTTGTGCAGCCGCGTCCCAGGGTTGCCTCGTCTTGGCTCTGCCATCGCTGGCGATTCCAAGAGCCTCCGCAGCTGCAGTATCGTTGAGCCAAGTGTCTCCCATCCTGTAACTGCACTGGGCTCCCCTTTCCTAGGTGATGAAATTGGCATTTGTCCCCACTGAATTTCACTCTGTTTTCACTCCAACCTATCAAGATCACCTTGAATTTTGCTTCTTTCTTCCAGGAATTAACTGCCCCCCCCCCCCCAATTTCATGTTGCCTGCACATCTGATCAGCATTCCCGGCACCTCTCATCCAAGCGGCGGGACGGAGCCCTACAGCGCCCCCCTTGCTCCTCTCCCCAGCCTGAGAAGGTGCGCTTGAGAAGCACTCTCTGGCGCAACTCCGTGGCCACCTGCAGAGCCACCTGATCGGGGCTCCATCTCACCCACTGTTGGCCAACGCACTGCTCAGAATGCCATGGACTCTGTGGAAAGCTTTGCTGAAGTCAAGATGACTATGTCCACAGCATTCCCACAGTCCACCGGGGAGGTTGCTCAATCAAAAAATGCAATCAGATGAGACTGGCAGGATTTGTTCTCGATAAATCCAAGCTGGCTTCTAGTAATTTCTCCATGGTCTTCAAGGTGTGTACAGACAGACTGCTTTATAATCTGCTCCAGAATTTCCCAGGGACTGACGTCAGACTGACAGACCTCTAGTCTGCAGCTTCATCTCCTTTTCCTTGCTGAAGATGGGGGCAAGCCTGGCCCTTCTCCAGCCATTGGGCACTCCCTTCTTTTCCATGGTTTCTCAGAGATGATAGGCCTTGGTTCAGCGTGTTCTGCCAGCTCCTTTACTACTCTGTGATGCAATTTATCAGACCCAGGGAATTGGAACTCGCTCAAAAAATTAGGTGTTCCTTGATCATTTGTTTGTCGATCTCAAACTTCGGTCCTGACCTTTGTTTGGTACCTCATTTCCCCCAGGGCA